GGCATGCGACTCATTGTCAGTTCGTGTGGATATCAAAGTGACGATTTGATCGAGCTTTATAAACGGGAGTGTAAAATCGCGCGAAAAAACGTACTTTTCTTACACATTCGCGAGTGTTAATGGTGTCTCATGGGAGGAGAGGACAACCTGAGTGAAGGAGGAACCCCAGGAAGGCATCAGGTGCCGGCGGTGTAACAGAATCAACGTAGTTTTCGCTGCTGCGCATCATCGGTGAGTAAGAAGTTTTATTATTTCGAGGTAACGAATCTACATTTCGTAGATCGTAGATCGTAGAATGTAGATTGATATATTATGTAGATCCGTTACCTAAAAAAATGGATAGATTACAATATAATTTTATATTTTATTGATATATTTCGGATCCCCGAAAGCCAAGGGGGTAACCACTAGCTAAAATGATGTCCCACCGATTACAAGATTTCATTTGATTTCATACGATTTTATCTGATAACAAATAATTTCATCTAATCACAAATAATTTTCTTATATATTTAAAAATATATGACGTTGCTAAATCTCAAAGAGCTGTTAGATTTCCTCAAAACTTTCTCAAGTTGAGAAAATATTTATGTCAAATTTAATGTTTATTGTCTAACAAGTGAAGAAACTTAAAAATAAAGACAACAGGATTACGTGGGGATTTCGTAAAGATTTCATGATTTCGGAGACACTGTCCCATGATTACATTAAGTGCCCCCTTGCCGGAAGCAGTGATTTCGGCACGAGTACACGACATCGATTCGCGAAAATAATTAGAATAAGAAATTTAAAAAAGAAAAGGAAAAAAGAAAATCATTATCTACGTGTAAAGAACACTGCAATAGTAGGAATATTCGATTCAATTATTGAAAAAAAAAACCGTCGTTAACTCTTTGCCGAAATGACCGCTATCGGAAGCAATCCGAAAGATCTGGGATTTATTCCTTCCTACAACGGGGCCTTTGACTTCCAACGGGTTCTTAAAGTTTCTTTCACATTCGTTTAATTTTATGGAGCTCTACAAATCAGAGTATATTGAGTTCATCTTCCATGTTGACAATCGTTGAATCACATCGCAAAAATTACGCGAATAGGGCGAACGATTTATTCCATGTATTTGTCGAGCTAATTGTAACCTATCCATTTTTTATCAACATATTGACATGTGAAGTAAAATAATATGACATGAGATTCTAAATGTTTTGTCGAGAACGCTATAACATATCAAATTATTATTATACATTATTGGCATTTATTGATTTCTTATAATATCCAATTACAATATCACTCTCTATCATGCGAGAACGTTCTTTAATTCTGGATCTCACGTCATTTATTCGGTATATTTCGCGACACTTTCAAGATGCGTGTCGCATGAACAACATGCATAATCGTACGCATCTTCATACATCCGCGCTCGGTTTTCGCGTTTGAGTTTCGCGATCGGTTTTTAAAAACATTTCCGTAATATTAGTACTTGTTTAATTTCATCCATATTAGAAATGTCAATTTATCGCTGAATATAATTAAAATTAATATTACGCGAAGTAAAATGTTCTCTGTATATAATATAGATTTAAATTTTAAATTCCAAGATTGAATCACGAAGAGACGGTCAATACTCTCGAGTAAATAACGCAAGCAGAAATATATTTAATTAGTTTTCTGCAGTAAATTTTTGTGACTTAAAATTCTTTCCCAATTAACTTCTTGTAGTCGTGCATTTTTCTATACGATCGACACTCGCATATAATTCAACTCGTACGTAACGTCTGTCGGTGACGATAACAAACCGACTGTGGAAGGAGTTTTCTTCCTTTCTGATCTCTGGTCAAAATGACCAGACTGTATGGCCAGGAGCAACGAAAGGTAAGTCCAATCTGGCCCAACGAAAGAAGACTGAATACGTGGTCAATATTGGCTATTCTGATTGAGTATATAAGGTGCAGATGTACGAAATAATTTGATTTCTTTTTATTCGTAAAAATTCGGGTGGGTTATTCTTCTGAATATATTCTTGCATATATGCGAGATTGATAAGATATAAGGTGCAGATGTACGAAATAATTTGATTTCTTTTTATTCGTAAAAATTCGGGTGGGTTATTCTTCTGAATATATTCTTGCATATGTGCGAGATTGATAAGATCCCAATTCAATCTCAATCGCAAGCGTCCCAATCGGACCTCTTAAATATCACGTTTATCACACACACGTTACTTTTAATAAAATACTTTTAATAAAATATACTTTTGATGAAAAACTCTATAAAACACTATAACAAATTGTTGTTATACATATAAACGCATTGTGATGCTGCATTTATCAAGTTTGATAAGCGTGCTATACATGTCGAATCAAAACAACATTTTTATTCATCTAGTAATTTAGTTATGTGCATATTTAAGTCACGCAGTGTGCATATCTAAAATTGTTTTTCTAGCATATACTATTAATAATTTCTAATATAATATGACTCTGGAAAAAAGCGAAGTGTCTTTTAGTATAATGTAATATAACAATATGAAAATTTCTTAAAGCGTTTTTCACTATCAATCTGCGAAAAACTCTATGAAAACTGATACCATGTTTTACATGAAGAATTTACAGGAAAATTATTTAGTATTTGACGATTTAGTACTCTACCGTGTCTCTTTGAACTTTGTGATCTTATTATCTTTAATCAAATAAACAATTTGCTTAGGTATATGTAAAGTGATATAAATACGATATGATAAATTGACTACGATAAACAATAAAATCTGAGAATTGCGATTTTTGAACGCTGTGTCCGATTTGATTGCATATCTTTGACCTATGCACTTTATATTTGGAATTAGTATAAATACGACATCTTCCGATAGCCGACTACAGATTCCACAAAATAACATTTACTCGCAAAGAACATTACGCAGAATGAAAGTCTTCGAGTTTTGCATCTGCGCTTTAGCGTGTATTGTAAGTCATTTTCTCTATTAAAAATTAATCAAAATATAATTAACAAATACAAAATTCTATTTATAATTTATAGATCAGTTTTTATTTCAGTAATGAACAATAAATACATTATATGACCATACCATGAGTTTTCTAATAATATTGTATTGTATAATAACTGAAAATAAATTTAATTAAATATAATATATGGTAAATAAAATTATAAAATATATGCTTTTTATAGTCTCTTACTTCCTCTATGACTCTAATGCATAGTCTAGGAGAACAGCCTAATAGTGGAATGCAATTTGTAAATTCCTGTGCTATTGAAGCTGGTTTGAACTATGGTAAACAATAAGTATTCAAAATATATTTTATTCATTTGTTTTACATAAATTCTAGATCAATATTTATTAGAATATTTAAATAAATGTTATACTTTTATGCTAGAACTTTGACATTTTCTAAATGGATATTATATAAAAATTAAGTTTACAGAAGAGAAATTTACAGATAATATAAAAAATAAAATGTGATTTTATTTTATTTGTTAGTAAATTTGTTAGAAAAGCAATTAATTTTGTAAACGCTTCCTTTTAAATAACTAAAATATGTGTCATAAGAAAATAAATATTCATTTTTAATATTGCGATTTACTTTCTAGAGGATGGTTATGACATAAGAGATATAATAGATGATGATATCGAAAAATCTGAATTGCAAGAAAAAACACAAAAGCATGGTTGTGTCATGGAGTGCCTTCTAAGAAAATTGAATTGGGTAAGATTTTAAAAGATAATTCTAAAGTAATATGTTAGTGTGTTTACAATATCTGATGTAGAATGCGGGAATAGTAAAACATTGCAAATTATATAATAGATTACAAAATTGAAACAGATTTTTTTATTGTAAACACTTATTAATAAATGTGATAATTTAACTTCAATGAGATATATTTCAAATTAATATCTTCAAGTAGAATAATATGTCTTTTAGATAAGTGAGAAATCTATTTATATGTATACATATAATCTAGTATGTAAATTTTATGAAAGATAGATAACGTTCATTATTTGTTTTATCAATATCAGATGGAAGGATCAGAACTTAAGGAAGAGAAATTTTACGCAGATATGGACAAAATATTTGCTAATCATCCCTTAAAAATCCAAATCGATGAATTTATACGTGATTGTGCTACAAAGGGTAAACTACTATTATTATTATAAATATAAAAATATAAAAATTAATTTAAAGTTAATAAGCATGTTTATATGCGATAAATAATTTTATATCTCTATAGCTGAAGAAATCCTACTTATTATTTTTTTAATTCAAATAATTGTGAGAGAGAGATATGTATATGTATATAAAATCGTATATTTTGTTTTATAATAATTATATAAATTAATATATATTTATATTATTTATTAATATAAAATTATATTGCAAATAATATATGCATAAGATATTGTTTGTATACAAGTAAAAATAATGAATTTATACATATAATTTTATATGTATAGATGAATGTATCTATACATATATAGAGAAAAAGTATCAGATAAATATTATATATAAAATTATTATGCATATATGTATACATGTAATGCATATACATATACTTATATGACCTATTGCATATTTTTAAATATTTTTTTTATTTTAATGTAAGACTTAACATAATGCATTTGCATCACAAATTTTAGTGAAAAACACTCCGCAAGAAGAATGTAAGAGAGGTGTTGTAGCAATGAAGTGTGGGGTAAAAGGTGCGCACAGATTATTTCCTATTGCAGGGCTAAATGAAGATGGAGAGAGTGAAGAAGATGGAAATAATTAAGTATCTAAAAAGAGGGAAATAATTAAACATCTATACATTATATAAACAATAATTAATAATTATTTTGTATGAACTAATACAATTGAAATAAGAAAATAAATAGTCTTTTATCTCAATGTATCGGCAATTTAATAAATTAAGTACACTGTAAATAGAAATTAAAAAATCTAAAAAATAATTTTATACTCTTGCTTACTTTTAGACATCAATGTCGAATATAATAAAAGGACAGTGTATAATTTATACATTTGTATTCTCGTAATAATCTTAATAAAACAAATTATTGCACTTAATTGTACATATCATTGTTAATAGTGTATGAACTACTTCGTAAAAAGAAGTGTTTTCGCTTACAAAACATTATAACATTTCTCAATTTTATAATGCAACGCATTACATAATTAAGCTTCTATGTATATAAATCACGATGCAGTTTTCAGAATAGCAAATAAGTTTTTCGTTAACTGTATAAATATTTAAAATTTAATATTATTATTTTATTATCATTTATATTATTATATTATTAATACGTTACCATTACTTTAACAATTATACAATTAAGTTTATAATTAAGTATCAAATACAAAATCAAATGTTAAAATTAAATAATTTTAACATTAATTTCATTGTTATATCTTTACTAATGCACATTGGAAAATTACATTTGAGTAGATATTATTATGGCAAGTTATCTCTATTCATTAATGTTACGTAATTAATATTTATTACGAGCTATGATCTTGTTTCTTTAACCTATGCTTTTTATATTTTGGAATGAGAGTATATATACGCAGTTGTAGTTATCTTGAATATAATTGCACTCATAGCAGTAAAGATATAAACTACACAAAATGAAAGGTCTCGTGCTGTGCGCTTGTGTTTTAATATTTGCTGTAAGTACTCTTTTAATAAACTACTTAAATGATTTTAATAAACTACAACAATTATTTAAAATAATACACATTAAAGAATAGAAATAAAAAATACACATTGCATACAATTAATAAATAAAATAAAAAGATGAAAATATTTTATAAGTTTCAGTTGTCTAGTTCAAATGAACTAAAACAAGAAATCAAAACTGCAGCAGAAACCCTTTCAAATGATGTTGATACTTGCCTAACTGAAAATAATTTACTTATGAGTAAGTTGTAATTATACATATCGTTGCTGTTTTATTGTACTGTTACTCGTTGTTTCCTTAATTAATTTCAAATTTTGTTTTGCTTGACTTTACTGAGTGTTTTTCCTTGGAATTTTTTAATACTTAATTTAAAGAGACATCTTTGCAAATGCACATATCTACTTGCATTTATTGATTTTATTTCTTAGATGAGTTCTACGAAGAGGAAGAGATAATGACTAATTTACATACAGAACCTGAAAATCAGGAAAGAACAAGAAAACATGGATGCGTGATAGCGTGTATCTTGAAAAGACAGAATTTAGTAAGTGTGCACATACTCGTATATATTTTATATACATATATATACATGTACAATACTATACACCAGGG